GAGACATTTCCAAAACAAAGAGTTGGAATTACACATTTTTGTTAATTGGCACAAGCTTGATCAAGTTGCTTACTTTAGATGCTGCTCCTCCATTGATAATGGACTTGACAAAGATTCCCAGATCCGCATGGTTCTCTTTTGACCGGTTACCTTTGACACTGACACCAAGACCGGCTGATCCTGAATCGTTAAGCGGAACTTCAAACGTCAGGAATTCTCTGGTGCCATCAGGTGTGAGAACCACGTCCTCATCTTCTGCTTTCTGATAGAAAACACAATGGCACAACACATTATATTCCAATGTTTCTTTCTCACCATTATTTTTAAAGCCTGCTAATGAGCAGTTCTTTAATCATAACATGCACGATATTTCCACCCAAGTTCCATGACAAGATCTATGACAACAGTGCATCGGCACCCCCTCCAGATGATTCCTGGAACCAGCTGCTAATATTTTTATGCAGCATTTGTTTCAATATTGAAACAAACCCAAACCAGATTCTCAGAAAAACAGAAGAAAAATGTAGTGAAAGGACTGAAGACATGTAGACTCCTAGAGTTTTGGATTTTTTTTGTCTGTTTATATAGTCCAAACCACAGGAGAAAAACAGTAACAGCAGGAATCAAAATAAATAAATATAGCTCATTTGTCCCTTGTTTTCATTAGGAATTTTCAATGTTATTAATAGTTGACTGTTGACTAATGGTGCATCACTTTATTCACAAAACCATAACAAATCCTGAGGACACAAAGTCAGCAGAAAAAGGTATTCACTTTCAGAGAGCCACTAGAGAGTTTTAACCTTCAACATCTGTGAGACAAAGTGGAGATAAACAACATTAGAGAGAATTTTTTCACAACACTGTGCCACACATAACACAGCTGGTAAATATTATTTGAGCAATATTGTTTAATTAATTAGTTGCCTATGCAAGCTTTGATTTCATAATTGCATTCATCAAGGGCATAAAAGAACTGTTTCCAAACACAACATATTTAAGTTATCCAAACTCTTGCCCATCTTTCTGAAAACAGCAAGGAAGAAATGAAAGCTCAAAGTGTAACCTCATGATACGCAGTGAGATGACACTCTCTGTCACTAAGAGTGTTGTACTCCAGAAGAGGAAGCAGCGCGCCTATTTCCACCCACGGCCGGGACTTCAAACACCTAGGTCCCCACACTAATCACCTCCACATGAGGAAGGCCAGGATTCTTTTTCAGATGCAGGATTTCCAGCTACAAAATGGACATGTAGCAGGAGCTCTTCAAATCACAACTCAATGCCTCATTTAGTCCTACAACCTATTTCTTCTCCTGTTTCCCAATTTTGAAATATTTGTCCAGCATCCACTTAGTCATTTAAGCTGGAATTATCAAATTATAATGAGGGGCCGGCTGAGTGGCTCAGTTGGTTAAGAGCTCGCTCAAGAGTTTGAGCTCTGAGCAACAGGGGTTCGAGTCAGCCNTTTTAAGCCACCCTGTAACATTCAATGCTTTCCTCTGAAGGGGAACTTAGAAAAGTGTTACTAATACTGCTTTTTTGTTTGTTTGTTTTATTGAGGAACAGTGTTTTTCTAGGACCCATCAGCTCCAAGTCAAGTAGTTGTTTCAATCTAGTTGTGGAGGGCACAGCTCAGTGGCCTATATGGGGATCGAACCCGCAACCTTGGTGTTATGAGCCTGCGCCCTAACCAACCAAGCTAACTGGCCACCCCTAGTTAGTTTTTAAAGAGATTAAAAACATGATACTATATTTTGCCGTGTACAATGTGCTCACATGTATAATGCGCACCCATGTTTCTGGCCCAAATTTTCAGGGGAAAAAAAATCTTTCATTTTAATTTTTTTAATTCAAATTTTTATTTGTTTACATTTAGGTACTTGCTTGTTGTATTATAAAGTAATTTTAGCATTTAGTTTTTAATATATTATGGCACAAGAAATTTTATGTAACAAAATAAGCACAAAAGACAAGTATAGATACAAGGTACAAGAAATTTTATGTACCAGTAAGAAATTTACAATATTTACGCATCATAGAAGGCCAAGAGCTCTTCATCATTGCAAGTTTATCATAAGTTCAAAAAACCGATTATGATATTCCACGGTATTATTTTGCATACAGATATTGTTATTGATTTCTAGTTATCCTTTTAACGCATAAGCATAAATAAAAGAATTAAAAACATTTCTATAGACACATGTATTGGGTTGTCGGAAAAGTCATGACATATTTTTTCTGTTTTTCATTGCAAAAATGCGTCATGACTTCTCCAACAACCCAATATATATAATGTGAACCCTTGTTTTCCCTCACAAATTTGGGCAAAAAGTGTGCATTATACACGGCAAAATATGATACAATGTCCAGTAGAAGAACATAGAAAGAAGGACCCTGTCTATTTTATGCACCTCTGTATCCCCAGAATCTAACACATTTCCTGAATATAGTAGATGCTCAATAAACATGTTTAATGAATATGTACTGTTTGTGGAATGTGGAATTCAGTTTCAGAAAAAAACTAATCAAGAACAATGTATCTTGTAAACTTACTGTTGAGAATTATTCATGTAGCACTTGGAAGGGCTGTCTTTAAAAAGATCAGTTAATGATTTGGCAACCAATAAAAGCTATTATTCAAGAAACCTAATCCAGTAGCCTACTCTGAGGGATTAGCATTTATATTTATACTGTAAAAGTGAATGCTATGTCACACTGTTTTCCACTCTAGATTTTTGGTTACACTGACATTGTTCTCTTGTTGGTGTGAAAATTAATTACTGTTAATTCATTCTCCATTTGGAAAACAAAAACAATACAAAAGTAAGTCAATGGTCATTAACCTTTCAACAACTGCTCACCTCTACACTGACTACCCTCTGAGCACAAGAGTACATTTTTGTTTCAAAATATGATGGTATTATAGGATCACATGCGTGACGGTCATGATGTGAAAAGCTTGCTTTATATAATTACTGAACGTAGATTTTAAAATTAAGAAAAACACTTAATTTAGATTACATTTTCAGTTTGTGCCATTTGCTAGTAATTTTCTCTTAGTTGATTTAAAAATATGGGAAGTTGAGCATCATTAACAATAGGAACAAACTACATTTCGAAGAAGCATTGCTCTTTGCAAATTGTCAGGTCCCACCTATTTTCTACAGATGGCACATAATTTATAACAGATCTATGAAATTTGTTTTTTTCAGGTTCCAATTTAATTATCAATTATATACATATAGTTTCTTTTTAACTTTAAATTAATTTTTCAAAATTGCCCCTCCATACAACAATACATGGTTCTACTTAGTATGTTTTTACTTCTTTGGGAAAACAGATGATCATACTATTCCTACTCACTTCTAATTACACAGTGCAGAATATATTTTGAACTAGCCTCGGTATTATACAATAGATTCAATGAAAAGCAAGNCTTTGGTACCCCTGGTATATACAACGGAATATTACTCAGCAATAAGAAAAGATGAAATACTACCATTTGTGACAATGTGGCTCAATCTTGAGAATGTGCTAAGTGAAATAAGTCAGAAAAAGTTGAGAACCATATGATTTCACTCATTTGTGAGATATAAAAAAGCAACAAATGAACAAGACAAACAAAAAATCACAGACACAGACAAGACTTTAGTGGTTACTAGAGGAAAAGAGGTGATGTGGGAGGTAGAAAAAGATAAAGGGGGTCAAATACACAGTGACGGAAGGAGATTTGACTTTGGGTGGTGAACATAGTAACGCTATACAGACGATGTATTATACAATTGTACACTTGAAACCCTTATAATTTTATTAACCAATGTCACCCCAATACATTTAATTTTTTTTTAAAGTTTTATCAAAATTAACCTTCATCAGAAAATAAAACCAAAAGACATGATTTTCAATTTTCAATTTGTTCCTTGTTTAAAGTGCAAAAATGTTCTTCAATCCAACTCCATTCAGTCCTGAATAGTGGTAGCTGTGTTGCACCCTTCAGCCCCCCTGGGAAAACAGGAAAGCGTTTCCCCCTACTGAAGAAACATTAGCTCTAGGGTGCATCAAGGTAACTCACATGGGGTAGCAGCAGGGCCGACAGTCTTTTTCTTGACCTGGCCATTGATTTCACTTTGTGGTCACTATCCTCACAAAATAATAAGCTACGTGAATAATAAAGATTCAAGTAAATCAATATTTGTCATAACTTTATTTACAAACATATAAAAATTGGAAATTACCTCAATCTCCAAAAATGTAAATATAGTATGCTCTTTAAAAAGATATTCAAATAATCATATATCACTTTTATAATCAGAAAATAACAAATGCTATCTAATAACAAAAAAACTGGATCTTATCCAATGAATATGCTTTTCATTATTTACTTGGCCTTTTCTTCTTTTCTCAGGAAAAGTTAAAATCTTGGTTTCCTTTGAAAAACTAATACAATTTCTGAGGGGTTTAGCAAAATCTCATGTTGTTTTAAGTATGCATTAGTGGGTCAAATGATGCCTTTCACATAAAGATAATGTGTCCCACCATCTCAAATATAAACGTTGAAAAGCTGGCACAGACATGGCCCTAAGCCCCTACAGCAAACTTACACCTGGGTCCTAGGTAGTATTTGGCACGAGCTTATTATTCGACATGTCAGTCTTTATGGGCTTATTCTATTTTATCCCCAATGCCTGGCACAGAGCACGCACTGGGCGAATAGCTGGATGAATGAATTTATTTCTAAATTAATGACTCAGATTTTCCTTAAAATGGCTTAGAGATTTCATACGTACTAGGCCTCCTGGAAGTAAGCCTTTAAAACTGAGGGAACAGCACAATGCTGAAATCCAAAGAAACTGACCTAGATTCAAATCATATACTGAGAAAGTACTAACATCCAAAGGACGCGTAATCACAAAACAATGAATAGAAAGACACGGTTGGGTGTGGAGAAGAGTGGCTGGAGCTGTAGGGTCCAGTGTCAGGTTCTGCCTTCATGCAGGATCACATTTAATTTCCCTTACATCCCCATCTGCACAACAGCAAGGATCAGAGAAGTGTAGGACATGCCCAGCGTCACTCTGCCTGTACGTGGCAGACCCAGAATGTAACTGTCTGATGGTAACGCCTGTGCTTTTACTGTACATTACCTCCCAACACAACCAGAATATAAATTGCCTGAACAACACAATCACTGTGTATGAGACCCACTCACATGCATAAGAGGAATGGACGCCATGCTTCGAAGTTACTCTGCCACTACCA